GAGTAATGCTGAAACGTTTTAACTTAAATCGAGAGAGAGCTGTTTGTGGATCGCTGGTGTGTGTGTCGCATTGAACATTACGTCGTGGCAGTTGTGTGTGGTGTTGCTATGACGACCAGCTGGATTGAGGGGTGCTATCTCTGGGTTACTTTCTGCAATGGAAAACAGAGGATGGCCAAACCGACTGGAGGCGAGTCGAGGTGGTACCGGTAATGGAAAAACGGCATAAGAAGCGGGGAGCGCTGACGTGTTTGCAGCAGAGGTACGTTAGGTCTGTGAGTGTAAAGAGAACTGAAGGAGGCAAATTCAATAAGTGAGTGATACTTAAAATGTAGAATGAAGTATAATTAAAACGGTGAAATAAGAAATAAACTAAGTTAATAGTATAAACAGCCCGCTCAGCAGAAAATACTGATATATATTTCTGCCTGACTTTTTGGCCATATCGCCCAGCCCTAAACACAACTCACTGGGTGCTATGAAAGTAGACCTGGAGCACTGTACTGATAATTATAAACATTTCTCAACTATAGCTGTTATTTATGGAAAACTTGCCAAGCATTGTACAGCCACGTTGCACTACCTGTTGCTGCAGCTACCTAGACCAAATATTTAAATATAGTAAAATATATATATAAAATATATTGTAGTGACATAAACCACCATGTGCTGTCTGCAGTTTTTCACGTGTAAGGATTACTTACTCTGCTGATAGCTAGGAGGAAGTCCAGGCGCTCTGATTTGCGGACTGAATGTCGTAGTTTCCAGTAGAGCAGATGCTCCCAAGCGAAAACCAGCAGGCTCAGGCCCATGGCCACAAGCAGCATGTAGAAGACCCCTGCCATGTTGTCAATGTCCAGCTTACTGCTCATCACCTCTTTCTTCTCATTACGGCAGATCCCTGTGAGCCAAACGGTCTGCAGCTTCTGTGTGTCGCCTGTGAGTGAGGAGCACAGAATACAGACTTTAGCCCTATTTGCATAACATTGGAAATATTTGGGTACTTGGAGTAAGTAATAAAACACCCCCCAACCTCTGATGAAATCCATTTGCATGGAATAATGAAATTCTCTCAAATAACCAGCACCCCAGATTAGAGATGCACTGATTTGATTTCCGATTTTCTTTAAGTTCTGACCTGCTGAATCAGATTTTGGCAGATTCTGATAGTGATGTTGGTGTTAGCGGGGTATATTTAATTTTCTAGTAGGTATTTTCTTACTTCACCATTTTCATTCTCCACCTTATTGTAGTCTTCACACATTACTTAAATCTGCTCCCGTTCCCTTCATTTCTCTTTTACCCGCACTCACACACCTACACCTCTGCTGCACACCGGACTGCCCGCCTCTTTCTGTTTGTCTCTCCCTGTATGTGTCTGCTGTGTTTACTTTGTCCATCAGCAGTATGTTTTATTAAGTCACCAAAAAGACATAGAACTCGTCTTTTGGATTTTTCTACCTGCGATTCCGTTTTTCACAGCAGCAGGTGTGCCGCATGTGGAGGAGGCATGTTAATGACGTATGCCTATCGAAACCAATGTGGTACCAAATGATATTTGCACGGGTGTGTTCAATGTTGCTGTACGTGGTCAGTGCTTGTAAAATTTCCATCTCTCTTGGTGTTTCTCTGCAAAATTTTGAAATGGGTCAGCAAATATACCTGGGCAGCTGTTAATGTACCTACGCGGCCCACCCAAGTAAAGTCTATATGTGGGAAACACTGACTATTCAATTAAATAACTTTTACATTTTCTCCCAAACTGCACCAGTTTGCAGCACCTTCTCCTACTCTCACTCTCACTCAACTTGTGTAAATCACCTCTTGAAATCTCCTTTTATTGACATGCATTTGTGACACATCTCTCGGATAAATTTTAGTATATTATTTTGTACCCTATGTTCACACCTGTGACTGCCCAAGCCACTTTTTGTGTTTATGGCAGTTTTAAACTTATGTAAAACCATGTATTTCCATTTAGGTTTATGCATACAGTTATTATAGTATTATGGTAATATTATGTGAAATTCAGCATTGTGTGTGTGTGTGTGTGTGTATAGTATATATTATCTATCCATCCATCCATCCAAAACGTGAAGAATTTACCATCAGCCAGGAACTGCAGAAGGGCCAGGTCGATGGGTCGTTTCCAGCGTGAATCCTTCTGCAGGGCAATGCCATAACCAGTGGTGGCAAACACTTTCCCACTGCCAATGGTCACCAGCTTGCAGCCCTCATCTTTGCCAGCCATATAATTCAGCACAGCAGCATCATAGATAAAGGCATCCAGTTTCCTAGCAGGATAAAGAAAAAGATTTTTAGTCAAATGGCCATTATATAACTGTTTGGCTCTCTGTTCTGCTGTAAATATATTTTTACTATCCTTGGCAGACACCTACCCGGTTTTGAGGCTGTTAAGGGCATCCTCTACTCCCTTCTGGTTGTATTTGACCATGTGGGAGTGCATTTCGGGGTAGTTACTCCTTATGTTGCGCTCTGTGCTGCCATTTGGGACCGTACCAAAGCGGAACGGAGGGTACTGCTCCTGTGGCTTTTGAAACTGTCAGAGAGGTAGAATAAGAATTGATAATGACAAAAATAATTGATTGCACATATAATTGAATAGAGTTGAAAAATAATTTCGTACAAAAATATTTGACCTAAGTAATGATCACTGTAGAGACCTTGGTATGTGAGCAATAAATATAATTCAGCTCGTCCCATCACCCTTATGGTTACAGTGCTCTTTTCTGTCATTTAGAAGCACTATGCTTGCTGTAAAGCTCAGATAAAATTATTTCAGCCTCTACTCTCAAGTCTCATTGTGCTAGTTATCCTGTTGCCCTTTTGCTCCGTTAATTTGCACATCTAACTCTACAATTCAAAGACATGACAATCAGACACTGTGTCCAAAGAGATCCAAATTTCCTTTATCATTTTTCTCGTCTCCATATGAAATGAACTTCTCATTTTATCTTTTTGCTTTTGGCAGTACTATATGCATTTAATTAGCTGTGAGGACAGGAAGCCGGACGGGGTGGAAATGCAATTGACAAAATTCCACTTTTTCATTAACCTTATGCAAATATGTTCTTAGTACATTAGTTGAGGGAGAATTTAAGCTAAAGTTTGTGTATTAGAAAAAGGACAATATCATGTCAGGACATCTTGAAAATGAACCAGACCTCCTCTGCATTCTGATATAAAACCCCCAAGTTTGTATCTGAGGACTTTTACATTATGTACAAACATACAAAACCTTCCGTCTACAATAGACGTAGTGGTTGTAGAGTTATAACGTAGAGAAAAAGTTACAATATGCAGTCAAACAAATTGTAGAAGTAAGTATGTATTTTCCTCTTTGGATGAATCACAAACCAAAGTTACCAAACTTAAACAACTTCTTTTAAATTTTGCCCTAGTGCCGGCAGCTTCACTAGTGCCTTGACATGTTGCACATGGCCAACAAGTCCTCTCACCTTACTCTGCTTTACGCTGAAATGTTGCTGCAACTTAATATAAAGCTTATATATATATAAAGCTGATAGGCCCATTGTCATTGCCTTCAAAATGAGAACATGATCTTCCACCTCCATGGTTAAGATCGGGTTCAGGAAAGTTAAATGTGGTTAGTTTTAGGGAAAGATTGTGTTCATATTTAAAAAAAAAAAAAACAGCGTTTATGGGAAGGAAACAATATGCCAACCGTCATCTGTCAGACACTTTGTACACCCAAACATGTGCTACTACCTACATTTACATTTTACATTTATTCATTTAGCAGACGCTTTTATCCAAAGTGACTTACAATTGCCCAGGGACACATCGGTGGACCTTGGTATGTGAGAGGGAACACTGATTATTTGCAAGACTACAAGATGTCTCTTGTGAACATCAGTTGTTTAATGTGTTTTATCAAACAGGTAATGCTGTTGTATTTCTAAGTCCTTATGTCTGTCCATGTAGCCTACTTTAGATTAAGCTGTCGTGACAGCTATATCTTGACGGCATGTCGCTGAAACATTTTCTGCATACTCCTTTCTGGTATTATGTAGTACAGAGATGTAATGTGTCAGACACGAATGGTGGATTGAAGGAGGTTGGGCGATGTCAGAGCTAACATGATGTGTTACAAAATCACAAGGACTTCTCTTATAAATGAAGTGTATTGTGTAGGGATGAGGTAGTCATCTGCGTCAACACAGTGCAGTGTCCTTACAGCAGCTCTGCTCATCTTCATCAACCTCTCCTCTGATACAAGGTCACTTTCTGTGGCTTCATCTTGTACCTCATTTACATTTACTTAACCTGAACACTTCAGCACAGCTGGACAAACAGCAGTTCAACCCTTTATTCCCTTCCATGCTGCCTTGCAGAATTCTGTTCAATAATCTATGGACTCTGTCAAAATGGCTCAGTTTCTTTCTCTGCATAGCAGAGTTAATGCATACTGAAATGAGGATTGTAAATGGCTTTGCCAGAATCGTAATGAGCAGTGGACAGCTCGGTCTTTTCCTCAAATGCCTCTTTAATCCCTTAAGTTGCCTGTGAGCAAAGCGTCTACGAACCATTTCTTGTGCTTATGGTTTAACATGGATTTCCTTGTCAATACTGCTATAAAACACATCCTCAGGCCAGACGAATATGCATAAGATAATACCAGAAATTATAATCACCGCCTGCCCGGAAAATCCACTTGTATATTACGTTTCGTAGGCTTTTCACAGACATCCACATATAAAGAGTTTGGGGATGTAATTCAATTTCACCACTTACTATATGAACCCTTTTATATTTTGCTGGGAAAGTGAAAAGTCACAGCCATGACATTGCCACTTCTGGATATTTGCCTTCACAGCTCTACCACACACTGTTTACACACCCAAAATAGACCACTTTGTGTTTTTCCTAAGCTGTACATCAAACACAACAACACGCCTGACAACACACACAGGACTGTCAATGACAGTGACAGAGCTCTGTACCTTTTTGTCACTCAGTCCAGAGACAGTGTCGATGTATTGCTCCTGGATCATGAAGGCTGCCAGGTTGGCTGTGTAGGAAGCCAGGAAGATGACAGCGAAGAAAGCCCAGACCAGGACCATGATTTTACTGGTGGTGCCCTTTGGATTCTCAATGGGGACCGAGTTGTTGAAGACGATTCCCCACAGCAGCCACACTGACTTCCCAATAGTGAACGTGGGACCTCCGGGATCTAGGAAGGAAGTCAAGAGAGGATCAGTCTATACATGGTGGACAATGTTGAGGGAATGCGCTCAACACACACGCTAAGCAACAAAATCATGTCATGGCCCTTCAGAATGCCGCATGTAACTTTTCTAAAAGGTTGGTTTAAGTTTGTAAGTTTAGGGGAAAATCACCCTTGAGGGGGGGAAAAAAAAGACAACACAAAGCCACACGCTTTGTATGCTTAACCATTAAAATGTTTGGCTGTTTAACCTTGTGCAACTCTCACTTTTCGTATGTGTGCAAGAGCTCATTTGTGAGGAAACATAAATGTAGGTTGTTTTAGGCATTTGAACAAATGACTATTTCTTTGTTGTTGTTTTTTTTTGCGAGGACAGTCTCATAAATGTGCTTTTTTCCCCTCCTTAGTTTAGATCTAATGTTTTGTAATGTAAATTAACTAAAAATACTAGAAGATGCCTTTTTATGAGTATCTGTCTTGTGTCCGTAAGCAGCTGACTTTTTGCCAAAAGCTGGATTGAGTTGTTTTTGGTGCTAGTCAGGGTATGTGGTGCAAAATTCAATCCTGACCTGTGTTATTGGTGTGGCATTTCATTGCAAATTGAAATATGTCAGTGTTGCCATTGTGATGAAGAGGTCTTACACCCTTAACTTGAAATTGTATGTCAAATGTCAGCAGACTGACTCATGGAAGACAATAACTGTAGTAGTAACAGTAAAGCAGCTGCCTTGTTTGGTAGTCTGAAAGATAAGTTAATTACATGTCTAAACTATGATGTACACAACCAGTTTGATGTCCTTGTTATGCAGTGACAACATGTCGTATTTGACCTTGCTGTACATCGGAAAATACATTAAAAAAAAAATAAAAAAAAAAGATCAGAAGCTGAGCCATGAGCGCCTTGGCCTTTCTTCATCCATTAAAAGCTATTTTATAGATCACATGGCTCAGAGATGAAACTGCAGCATCTCAATTTTCCAGGCATTGATCCAATATGTGGCCACTGTAAATAGGCTTGGATTTCACATATTCCCTAAAGCCCCTCGGCTTGAGACTCTTAAGACTTCTGCAAAATGCATCTGCTAATTTAAAATAAAAACCCTGTCCACAAATAATTCACTATACCCTGCAGTCGGGGATGGAAATTAACACCCGCCGTCCGCCAAATGCGGGTAGATTTTCCGTTTGGCAGCCAAATGTTGAAAGACTACCTGCCAATGTGGCAATATTCGGCATATAATATCTATTCATAGTTTTAACGTGACGTCACATTACAAGGAAAGCGCTCCCTTGGAGGGCAAAATGACGTTGTTTTCCACTGCCCGCCAACCAGGAAAGCAAGTGATGCACTGTTTGTTAATTTTGCGTTGCCAAAATGCTGGATGGTTGTTGTGCTTTCGGATGCACTTATTGCGTGTTAGGTGAGGGATTCCCTACAAGGTAGACATAAACATTACCACAGTCAAGCGCTGGCAGGGACCTGGCTGTGTTTAACGGCGGAAAAATGGCACTGGGTGCTGTATATTGATCGCAATTGCCCAACACTTGTGGTTTGTGTCCATATCTATGTTTTTCTTCATTTGAGAGGTGATCCAAATAAAACAGCTTTTGCGGCGTCTCTACGAGGGAGTCAGGTGTGAGCCGCTATCTTGTTCTGTTCTTTTGCCCTCCGGGTCACCGCACATGTCACTTGACTGAAAACTATGAATTTGATGGTAATTAGCAGCAGACCGGCGTTCTTGTTGGTTGTGTGTCGCACTTAAATTGGTCCCTGATGTACAAAGCAAGAGGGAAGCTTCCGGTCAGCAATCTGATGCGAACGCGGAAGTCCCTAAAACCTGCATTCTATTGAACGACCAGCAGGGGGCGACTCTTCTGGTTGCAAAAAGAAGTCTGGCTCTATTAGAAATAATGGCAAAATGACCCTACTTCTCAGCTGAATAATTACCTCAGTAAACACTTTCCTGATGAGTTTATGGTCTCAATCGCTAGTTTCATGTCTTCTTCAATACAAAATGATGTTCATTCAGTAATAATGGTCCCATTTATTTTATAATACACCATAAAGCAGAGTATGCTTCAGGGCGAAATTATCTATGATTGACAAGTCAATTCCATGGCGATCTGTCAATCAGGCCAGAGCCGACTCGTACCCAAGGCACTGTGTAAATTTAACCAGCACCTATTAAAAAAGCTTATTAGGAGTTGGCTGTTCACTTTCTCTGAGTACATTTAATTTTAGTTTGATAGACAATTGTCAGCCCTGTTAAAATGACAATAAGCGTGAATTATAGATGCACCTAGCTAAGAAAGCTAGCTAGCTCCGCACGCGGCCGCGAGTTCCGCATGCGGCCGTTAGCTCCACCTTCTCGTCCAAATTTGGTCACTTCCTGGTTACAAAAACTCAACATGGCGGCGAACTATGGGTCAAACTCGAGGCTTCAAAACGGCAGTCCAGAAACCAACGGGTGACCTCACGATGACTACGTCCACTTCTTATATACAGTCTAAGGCACCAAGGTATGTGAAATTGTGTAACACACGTATTAGGGGCCTTCATTTGTTGTTTATGTTACTTGTGTTTGATTAGTGTAGATTTGTAAAGGGTAGGCATCCGGCGTCAGGAGTCGGGAGGGGAGAGTGAGACTGCTGTCCTCCCCAGAGATCAAGGAGAATGATCCATACATTTACATTTTACATTTATTCATTTATTCGCTTTTATCCAAATCGACTTACAATTGCTGTACATGTGAGAGGTCTAGGGGTTAAGTGTCTTGCTCAGGGACACACTGGTGTCTCACAGTGGATTTGAACCCGGGTCTCTCACACCAAAGGCTTAGGCTTATCCACTGCTCCATCACCACCCACGACACCCATAGACAATATTGATCCCACAAAAGCTGTGATGCTGTGGCACCAGGACTCTGTCAGAACCAGGAGGCCAGAAGAGGGTGATTGTAGAAAGTGAGCAGTCTGATGAGGAGGCATAAGTTGAATGATAAAGCATGAGTGAGCAGTGATAAGATTTAAGTTGAATGGATTAATAAGCATCTTGTAAGTTTATAAAACAATTTTTGTTATGTTTTAAGTACATTTAATAACAATAATATAATTTTGCTTCAAATTTCACTCTGGCCTCTTCTTTAAATTTTTATATTTGACATAATACCTTATTATCTTAATTAAAAGGACGGAAACACAAGCCAATTTATTATTTTGGGCGGTAAAAAATGTTTGGCCGGTGGATTTTTTTCATCTACCAGCTCACATACCACAGTGGCAGGTGAGCCAAAACGTTTTCCACCCTTACCTGCAATGATGAGAATTAAATGTGATAGGGACATTGAATTTTTATTTTGAAATGTGTGGTACCTAAACCTGAAAATAAAAATGTAAGAATTCAAAATTCTTACACTATGAATTAACAGCTGGAGCGTCAAGCAAAGCAGTCGATGACTGACTTGTATAGGTTATCAAGCAGCCACCTTATTGTCTCTTCTGTAGTTGTGATTGTGAAGGTGGAATCAGAAGGTGGATGTAGGAGGGAGGTAAGACTCACCTTTGGCAGTAACCAGGCTGCGGTTGTACCCAACTGGACTGCAATATTCAAAGACGAAAACTGTGATGGCCACAACAGTCAAACACATGACGAACATCATCACCCACACCGCCGGACTGTATGGTTCTACAGGGACAGAGGACATAGGGCCCAGTGAGGCAGGGGAAATACATACTTTCTGTTTGTACTGATGAAGAAAACTGGGCACACTAAAACAAAACCAAATTATTCTGTTATCATCATGAATTAACAGTATGTCATATCAGCATGAAAGGCAACTAACTATTCCACATATGAAAAGGCTGTGAGACTGATTGTTTAAATGACATACTGTGATTATCAATGCAATATTTACCATATCTGCCTTTTAGTTTTTATTTAATTCATTTCATTTGTCAGGGACAACAGCAACTGATCATTGAAACAACTGTAAGTGAGCCAGAATAAAATATGTTACATACAAGAAAATGCAAAAAATTTAAAAAAAACATCAAATATATGCAAATAAATAATATAAAAAGCATACAAAAGACAATTCACATAATAGTTAAAAATGAAATAAAAAAAATAAAGTTTAAAGAGTAACCAATTAACAAGAAATGAGAGTAGCAAGGGGGAGTGGTTTGCGACAGAGGTCCCAGGCTGGGACGAACCAGTACCACTGCAACAACAGTATACAGTATGGTACTTAACCACTAGGCCACCACAGTTCCCCAGTGATAGCTAAGTTGAGCACAATTTTTAAGCAAAGGCGAAAACATCAACAGCCTTGTGTCTTCGTTACATCAGAGAAGCACAGAGAAGTTTCTCACCTAAAAAGGCAGATGGTGAGACAGTCCCGTTACTTCTGGCAACCATCACACTGATCCCTGTCTCCACAAACGGCACTGAGAAGTCAATAATCTCAGAACGCTCTTCGTTTATGGTCAGCGAGCCGATGGCCATGTCCGCCCGTTTGTAGAACACCTGTGGCGGGAGGAAAGTCAATGGAGAGATTTTTTTTAGATGAGATTACAGTGCGAATGGAGAGCAGATGTTTGTGTGGCGCTATCATAAATCGGACAGTGTGTATCAGTGTCCGACATAATACTGGACCTCCATTGCTGAGCTGTGAGATGAATCTCATCCATCAGTGGAGTCAACAGTCAGCCTCTGTCCCTGAGGTGATGTACTGTCGGGATCTTCCAGTGCCCACCCAGCAGCCACGCGGACACAACTCAAAAGCCTATCGTAATGTTATCTTGCGTTTTTTCACCAGTGTGTCGCAAAGCACGATCCACCATCTAATCCATCTCTAATCCAATATAAGGTATATTG